AGTGGTCATATTTTCAGTCAGTTAAAAAATTTGCGAAACTCATTGCGAGAAGCCTGATGAAGGATTGGTGGATTTATTTCCGGGTCATATTCCGATTTTTACCCGAAATTCTCGCCATATAAGGCAAGCGATTCGCCAGGTTATTGGTTGTTGGTCACGTGGTTGTTGATCTGTTCGCTGAGCTTGGCAAATGGCTTGCAAACGTTTCGTCACCATACGAGGGGACATCATCAGTGCACAGTTGTGTGGGTACTTCCTTCCTTGCCTGCGTGGTTTATATAGCATCCGAAGGCTATCTATATATGCTATATATGCTAATATATATGCTACATATCTATGCTATACAAACGCACGTGGGCAAGGAAGAAGTACCCACCCAACTGCGCACTGATGATGTCTCCTCGTATGGTGACGAAACGTTTGCAAGCCAGTTGCCAAGCTCGGCGAACAGATCAACAGCCACCTGATCAACAACCAGTAAACTCACTCGAGCTACCAATATTTTGACACATTACCAATTTGCCAGGTTGACCAACTCACTCGCTGAACCTGGCGACGGTCTCGTGCCAAGAGTGAAACCTTGCCAAGCGACAAGTCCACCAGTTGTTTATCAAACATTCCCTGAGACGGTCCTAAATATCTAGCCATGAGTTTCCATTACTCAAGAGTTTTTGTGCAACACGTCAGTTGAAGCTGTAACATGTAGAAAAAAGCCAGAAAACACCATAGAGTTTCTGATTTGAAGAACATGCTCCTAACTAGCCACAGATAGTGCTTATGATGGCCTTCTCCTTTTTCTTGTGTTGTGATACATACCCACCTTTGCAGCGCATGTGTTTTAGCCATTTATAACGTCTGAATTGCTCTCGAGTAGGATCTTTGCAAGGGCTACTCCTGACTTGACGGTGAGTGGGATTTCCCTGCAATATTTTTACATAGTCAGAGATACACGTAACGAAACGGTAAAATGTTCAACTATTACCTGGGAAGCCAGGAGCACGAATCCGTCTACAGACTCTTGGGATGCGTAATTCTGACGATACCTAGAATGGATGTTACTGCTCTACGGGGCTTCTTAATCTTTCGTCACCAATAGCCTCACTTACAGCATAAAATTTCGACTGAAATATAGATTATGGAAATTCCTAACAAAACGGTTGTGAGTATATGTTTACTTAGTGCGCCTGAAATTCACCTAGACAGACCACGTTAGTTTAAACGGAAAAACAATAGGCGGATTCAATTCGCAGACAATAGGTGGCACGGACTATTACACGCCAAATGAAGTCAATCCTTGGACTTGTCTACACTTTAGCGCAGTTACATGCTGCTTGAACTGAAGTTAGGCAACACTCATTTTCACCAGAAAGGTTAGTACAGAAAGTAAGGCATACGGCCCCATTGTTGGCATAGACCTGCCGAACGTGTAATCGATCGCATCTGAGACCGAATCTTGCACTCCCAATTTTCAGACTGCGTTCAAACTGTCAAAACACTCAATCCGCAAAATACAGTTTTCATCCCCGTTTTATTAATACCTGCCGGTGATGGCAAGATCGATGGCTAATTTTTTCTCGCGCTTAACCTATCGAAGGAACGAAAGGAATGAATAATGGGAAAACGCGTTATTCACTTATATAAAAGTTTTCACCTTGATAAGAACCACATAGAAATTTTTTAAGGATATGAGTGGAACTACAGGATGAAAGGGAATCTTTTGATATCCTCACCATGTGTGAGCCTTTCTACATAGACTTGATTGCGTTATAGTTTCATAGCAAGATGTCACCTGCCTTCTATCTTTCTTTCAGTTTCGAATCCCATATGGTACCAAGGAATACACCAAAGCAGTCTGTGCGATATTTATTTAATATACCAACCGCACACCGTAGTTACTCAATGTTGTTGTCGAGGATGTACGCAAAGTTATTTGGAACAGCTGTGTAATCCCAACACAGTGGCACAGTAACCTTACCGCGAAATGAAAGGTGTTCAGCAGTGAAAATCCAGGCTTCATATGTGATAACTAAAACGGATATTTTCTCGTTCCTGTTTGCAATATACACTTTTTTAGAACCTCGTGCTGAGTGTCATTAGCTGTGGGTAAAAGTATAAGTGTAAATTTTAGTTGCTTTGATTTACAAATCCCTCGTATGTAGTGACGACGATCATATCTACCGTGAAATAATTTACTTCCATTCAATAAAACCTCCAGTGGACCCCATCCACCTGTGTTCATATCATGCGCCCCATGTAACAGTCCGAGCTACATCACAGAAAAATCTAAGACAATCGAAAGGATACCCGGAGATCAGTATGGAAGTAATGCCCGACAAGTTTAGATATAGATTATTAAATTCACCTATCATGGCTTACACAGACTTGTGCCCCGTACACCCATGTTCGTAAACCTTGGTACACACCACCAAGCCATGTTGCGGGAAACGGAAATGAGGTTGAGTTCAAGCTGTTCTCAAAGCTGTGCTAAACCGTCATTTTAGAGAGGTTTGGTGAACAATCGGTGTTTACCAAACCTCTTTGAAACGATAACTACTCAAATGGTCCCACTGACTGCGAACTTACCTTAAAGAATCCTGTGGAACTTATTTAAATGACAATCCAGTATGAGGCAAAAGCCCACACATTACGCGTACATCTCACCCACATAAACAGCGGAACAAGTGAAGTACAGTTAATCTGGAGGGCCTCCGTGTTTTCACGAAAAAAAAAACAGTGCGCACAATCCAAACGTCGCGGTGTGCAACACGCGAATATGGCAAAGTCGGCTGGTGCCAAGCCCCTTTACATTGTAGAGCGGCCGTGCCCACGTGCCTCCATGAGTTCAAGATAGAGGTCAGCTAACCGCAAAAAGCTTACCGTGGCGAGGTCCGCCGATAATCAGTCGAGCGACCAGTGTTGTCTGCCTTGTATGACAGTCACACGGCGGGATAGTGATCGACTGTCACGCCCACAAGACACAATTGACATGATCCATGCTTCTGTGAGAGCCCTGAGGAAAATCGATGAGGACCCTAACCCTAACCGGGAATGGAAGAAGCGCATGCCTCAGGAACGCCTACTTAAGTGAGCCGGTTTTCCTTAGCATATGGTGACCAAGTACAGATGGCGGTACAGGATGGGTAGTGAGTTTAGTGTGTGAACAAGACTGTCTGTTTTTTTCCAGTACAACCAGTGATGAGGTGGGGCCAGTAGAGTCGTTACGCGACGAACATAAGGCTAAGTTGACAAAATAATCTGGCGTCAAATTTATTGAATCATTTTTTACGATAACGTGGACTTTGGGTAATGATCAGTGTCCAAATAATATTCCGGGTGGCCTTACCATGGGAGCACTAGCTGTAGCTTCAAAGAATTCCATAGGTGGTGGAGATCAGTCCACTTTACATTTTTGGGTTTCAAACCTGAAGCGTACACACATCTGAATTGAGTGCACCGAATCTCTCCCGTATGTTATTTCCGGTATATGCCCTAATTATTGGAAAACTTCATATGTAGAAACATCGTCGGTGGAGGCACGTGGCCTAGAAAGCAACACAGACTGTAAACAAGCCGCCTAGAGCAGCAACCGAGTCTGCCTGGAGGAGTCTGTTCAACGGACTAACCGATACAGATAACAACACAGAGCAGATCGCAAGCGGACCAATGAAATTAAGCTAAAGCTGTCCACCAAACAGTCAAATTGAGGTATGACTTTTTAAAAACGGCATAATCGCAAACAAGTAAGGATGAAGTACCCACCCAACCTCGTGACTGATGACGTTCTCAGAGATAACTTAGATGCATATTTAAGAATACGACCAAACATCCGACCCAATTGTCACGACTGTTGCAAAAAATCCAATCTAACCGAGTGTACCCTGTTGAGGTGGTCTGATGGAAGACAATCAACCGCCGCTTGTTTCAATCTCTGCAAGCCACGTTTCCTGATGCAACCAACCCTTCGCCGAACTTAAGCCTTAAAGCTAACATGTCAGCCCTCTTCCAGAATATGGTTATGTATCCCTTCTCCTACTTTTGTTTAGCGGAGTAGGTTGGGCGCACGACGCTGCAACTTGCTGAGAGAATATGTGAGCGTCCGTCTTACCGGGTCCTCAGTAGACCCGATGAGGCAAAAGCTTGCTCGCGTCACACAAGGGACACCGATCACATCACTGTAAACGAGTCACTTTGTGTTATCTACTGAGTAACTCCCAGGACAGGACAGAGTCCAAAAATTGTCACCTTGGCGCGCACAGAACTTTCATCTAAAGTTGATGCAATTCTTGGGAATGTCACTAGCGAGCCCAAATGCCGCTACCAATTGATAAGCTCAAACAGAATGTGAAAAAAATGAGACGAAATTCTGATAAAGCAGCGTTGGACAGTTCTTGAAACGGCTTGTAAAACTGAGGAGATCCCAAATGCCTCAAAACAAAACACTTGAACGCACCCATCGATCAGAAGTTTGTCGATCCTACCCATAACAGGTCCACATTGAGTCGGTTTTACTAGTCAATGCGTCTTTAGATTATTCGGCCGAAAGATTGAAGTAGTTCTTTCAACCAGATCGATCGATCGATTGAAAAATAGTGGCATTTGGGATATAAGAAACGTGGCTTGAAGGCGCGTTGTTCAATACTACGGGTAACTGGAAGGAAAGTACGCGTTTTTTTCCATTTCTTTTCGATTCAATTAGAGAAGCAATGATGTAGTGTTTCACTTTAACCCCTTCAACGCAGACAAGGACGCCGTTATCCTATTTTATAGTCACAAAACTAGGTAAATTAACAAATAAGTAGGCCTGCTACTATTTAGTGAGAACTTTGTGCAACCGACTAAAAGTCTACGTACAGACATACTACAGTAACTATATCGGTCTAATATGGTGGAAATTACAACCCACGGGATAAAAGCGAACGACAGTATTTTCCTAAGATGTAATCAAGCGTCAAAAACAAACCCGACTTACTGAGAAGAAGCGAAAAATTGACTTTTTAATGGGAATTTTTTAATGGAATCCGTAAACAATGCATCGAAGTTTCCCCACTGTGGCATAAGCAACTCAGGTTCAACCACATTAAACGGACCGTACAATGACGTAAGACAACGGTTGCATCTAAACTGGTCCAGGAATGGTCTGGGGAAACACGTGTAACAGATAAAATAGAATGTGCAAACGATAACCTCCAAAATAAGGAAATCTTTGTTAAAGCTTTCCCAAAATGATAGTAAGATTAGTGGAAAATAACGAGGTCACAGCATGGTTTGGATAGATGGATGTTTTGGTGGCTAACTATTGAAAGTAACCTGAACGGCTGCCTGGTACACAGCGATTATGCTCATACGAGTGTGTTCAGAGAAAAGTCAAGTCAGTGTAAATTATTAAAACAACAGAAAGACCACGAGTTGGCCAGCTTCCATGTAAACGGTGCACACCTCAGGTAGTCAGCGAGCAACAAAAGGTTCCGGAAATTCCTGGGCCAGCGAAGCTTCGAGGGCAAGATGGACCACGAGATCTGATCCATCCTCACGAACTGAAGCCCCGAGTGTATCGGTTCTACCATCCAGACTGCAAAGATAAGAAGTCGTAGATTATTCAAATTAGAGTAAATGTAGCTTAGTCGCCCTTGATGATGACGATGACTATAGTGATGGTGGTGTCCATGCTACCCGAAGAAAGCACGAGGGCTGTAATGCTGACAGGCCTAGAAAGGGTAGCCGAAACGCCGAAGGTGGGGTCGAAATGCGCATTTTCCTATCAGCACTTTGGCGCTTCTTTCTATAAAAACAATGACATTTTGACTAAAGAGATGAAACGAAGCACAACAGTCGTATGCCAAATAATTCACTGAGGTGTTACTGGGTGGCGTATGGATCGGCCTAGGTCAAGTCCGACACACTGCAGATACAAGGAATCGAATCTGTGGTAGACAGGCGAGAACACTGCCTGAGTTGACAAGCTGACTATCCGATGTACGAATCAACATGGCGTCTTCTCAGTTAACGTGCATTTGCGCTTGCAGTGACGGAATCGACATAGTCCTTTGTACTTCACACGATACAGATATTCTACAGCATTAGTTGCAGCAAAACGTCTAGCTTTTGACGTAAAAGCGTTGTTGGGCTCAAAGAGCAGGTTACTAAATTTTAGGTCAGTTGATGAAGCTTCTAGCTCGGACTAGAATCGTTCCAGCTAGTCGGGCATTATAATATCGCCTCATTCCTATGCAGAATCGTTCAGTCGGGCATTATAATATCGCCTCATTCCTATGCTGAACAAAAGCCGTGTAAATAAAACTGCTGGAACCAGTGGCTGTATTTTGTGTCTAACCTCCATTTCCATAGGTTTTGGCTCTATTTCATGGCTCTTCACATCAGTACTCCGAGGACGTGTAACATTGAATTTGCTTTACTCATCACTCCTGGTTTTTACGTGGTTCCAAGTATTAATGTCTTCTGGATCTTGTGATCTGTTTCAAGCTGACTGACTGCTACATAGACAGTTGTCACTCATATACAGTTGGGTGGTAGTAGTCATTTGAACAAGACGTTAGCCGAATTAGATGGGAACAAGCAAGCCCACCAGAATATCTTTCATTCTGCACGTTTGTTTCAAATTTGTTACAGAAATTCGATGTTTGGGCAGACTCATTAGGAGCTAGTTGCTTTATCTTTGAAGTGGAAATTTCCCCAACAAAGAAAAGTAGTTCTCGTTGTCATCAAGAGGAGGCTGTAGGGGTTTTTAGCTCTTTCGGTTGAACCATGCTCAATAACAACACCGATTAGCACTACATACGCAGACACTAAGGGCACGAAGATCGTGCAAGTCGCCCGCGATGAACGTACACAAGGTTCGTTCGGTGCATCGGCTGTTGTCAGGTACAGCCGAACTGAACGGCATACTTACGGGTGATTTCGTACGCAATGAACTGCCCAGTAATATGGCTACCAAGTTTTATAGAGGCCAAAAAATTATCTAGTCCAAATAGCTGAATTATTGGGGCTGCAGGATTCGAGTATTTGGAAATGACTGCGAAACACATCAAGAGCAGAAACAGAGATGCAACAGCCTCATTCTTACAGACTATTTTGAACACTGTTTTATAAAAGGTAATTAAGGATTCAACCATCTATGCTTAAGAATTTGGCCAAAATGTATGAAGTTTGATAGACACATTTCACATAAAATGATTGTTTTCTCTCTCAAATAGTGCGCATTGCAGTCATATACTTGGAGGAAAACCGGAGCAAATTTAGATACAGAGAGGCTTGCTAGCTGGATTCATTCAGATCCGTAATCTTGACACAATAGACTAGTTGAGAACCACGATTCACAACCCAATTAGGCTGGATTACTTCAATAATGCGGTTCACCTGATTATGGAATGCGATATCGAAGAAATGGTATGATGCATGGCTATAATTTATGAGCATCGATTTGGAAAATCATGAATCATCTGATTTACAGTCACTCATATGGACAAGAACTGGGGGTTGGCAAATTTAGTGGATCACGCTGTCAAAGCTGGTATGACGTAGTCGGACAAGGTCACAGGTGGGAGTAGGCTTAAGATACCAGCCCTTGGAATCTAATTTCCACACACACGAAAACTAAACGGTGATGGCTAAAGTATGCAGTAACTTAGGTAAATCTGCTGCAGAAAGTATCGCCTATCTGACAGTAGGGACGATACAATACTCGGTTCACTGCTATTCCTAGACAGCAACAGTACGGGACATTCGTGATGTCGACTCATCTTGTTATGCGTGATAGTCGATGTGAAGTACGCAATTCAGTTAACCCAGATCCGGGTGAGGACGGTTCCTATAACAGGTTGACCTGGATAGAGATAGTGTGAAGGGGTTGATATTCCCATGAACTCTCTGCCAACTGGTGGGGAATTTGTCTTCTGTGAAATAAATTGCTGATGTTGCTGCTACAAGTTCAGGAAACGGTCTAGTCAGATTGGACAACAACAACGGATTGAGCAGAGATGCAAAAAACACAGAAAGATTACACATACCTATAGAGAAAGGGGGACAACTGAGAGAAATCCGTGAGTTGCCGAACAGCGAGTATGTGAAGGCAGCCTTGGACGGGTTGCGTTAAGGAACCATCAAATTTATCCCGTTGGAGTGGCTTGTTGACCTCCAAATGCTAAAAGAGAGCAAATGGAAGTGCAGTAATAAGGTTTCATAGATTTTCAATCAGGAGTCCCGCCTGCAAGATTAGACCAATTTCTTAGCAGGCCGAGAAACATCCTACTGAGAAAGATGAGGAGCATGCGATCTACAAATACTAATAAGGATTCGCATTCGTGACCCTTGACATAGGGGGTGAATATTACTATTCAATTATGAGCGAATAAAATATACAAAAGATGAGTCAGGAAAGGTCTGACAATGAGTTAATACCTGCGCAGTGAAGTGGGGACACAGTTTCAGTTAACAATTGCAATATATCGCAAGGCAACCACATCCACACCGACAGCTTGAGGGTGGAGTATTTGCCTCTCACACCAACAGTTTCAAGAAAATGGGATTAGTGAGCTGTGAAATGATGATTGCCACAAACCAGGGTGAGGGTCATTGAATGGCTCCTGTATCTTCAATATACATAAAAGTGACTTCACACACATGCTGAAACCATAGGAACAGCAGGTAGTAACAACCTGAGGTATAGACATGCTTACCCTTAGAGATTCCGTCACAGAGACGATCAGGGGAATAAAGTGAGCACGCTGGACAGCTGCTTCATTCTCTTGTTCGTGTTGTCTGTATTCACCGGTTTCGTTCACAAAAATCCACTGATAACTGCAATGTAGAAGAAAACATCAAGGGTGGAAAGATGAAAAACAAACTTGGCGCGTAAAGCTTTAAACGCTCAAGCTTGTCTGATATCGCCACATGTCGACGAAAATGCTCTTTGAAAGTGTAAAAACGCCGTACCTATTTTGTTATTGGGATAAGCGAAACGCAACGAAAGAAAATAATAAGATCTCAGCATAAAATTCCACAGACCGCGCGCCGCTATTCAACCCAAAAACACACTATTATGGATCAAACCTGTGAATTAGGATCAAAAAGGCTTCATGACTGTAACAAGTTTTTACGCTGATTTACCTCACTTTCCGTAACCAGGTCCGGCAATAAAACATAATAACTTACAACGGATCAGATCTGTGGACTCACTGTACATCTTACTCAGGGAACGAACTACAAGTCTGCTCTGCTGAATTAGAACTCGAATTTATTGCGAGTTCACTCCAAAACTGTTGCAAATTTAGTCACATCTCCAACCACTGACATTCACGCACTTTCTTAGAACTATTTAAAAAATATTAGTTTGCTGCCCTCATAATCACAACCAAATGAGACAAGGAGTAGCATTTGTGGACTACTGGCAACACGTACTCCACTCCACAGACTTGTCACAGATTGCCACTTCAAGTGCGCATGTGATGTGAAGAATTTTTGACGGTTGAGCGTTTCTTCTTGATTTAGCGTGTCAATGGAGTGTAGCCAGTAGTTCAATGGAATTGACAAGTTTTCAGTAGTCAAAACTGCTTTCTAAGCAGCAAAGTGGTTTTTACAAAACATTATGTGTGGTCTTTTTGTGTTAGGAGGTCTATTTGACACATGAGAAACGATACCGGAATCGAACGCAGTGATCAACACTTTCACTCAGTGTGACGAGTTATTTAAGATGAAATTGAGGCGTAGTGCTAGACTGACAATCCATGAGTTTCTGAAAACTCGAGAGGAAGTTATCCGAACAAGATTAAACGATAGAGTATCCTGTACAGGTTCGTACGAAATGCTTTCACTCGTGACAGATGAGAACATCTTATTGAGTGGATTTAGGAAACGAACAAGAGACAGTCTTCAATGTGCGAAGATATTCTTCATTCATGGACTGGACACTAAGAATCGCCTGTACTGCTCACAATACGACTTCAGATTTGTCCTATAGACATCCTAGTTACGATCCAAAAAAGCTCGTGCTGTTTAGAATGTACAGAGATTATACTACAAAACCTCGACGACTAACTAAAAACTATTGCTTGCAGCCAACCAACTGAGGGTTATAGGTACACGTTTGTTTGAATAGTGATAGATAGGCTCCCCAACCCTGAGGCTTGGAATAGTGAAATACGTATAAGACTAAAGCATTTCCCCATAGAAGGAACAAATACACATTCTAAATAGTCCCTAAACTGTACTTCTTTCCTCGGGTTGTTCTCGACTTTCTGAGAAACTGTTGTATGATCCATTTGTGTCTTCATTAATGACGCGACTTCCGAGTGGTGAAACCTAACCGGTCTGAGACACGTCGCGGTTACAGCTGATCAACTTCGATGAGGTAGCTGAAGTTGCGGAGCTAGACCATATTTATTAAGCAAGGACAGTGACACTTCCTCACTACTCTTCTCTGAGGATCATTTAGTGTACCAAGCACCTGATAAAACCACATTAGCCTGCAAACGAGTGTATTCCGCGAATACCTGAAACCCTTAATCCAAATATGACCAAAATTTATAAATCTCACTTTCGTTATCCCTATTTTCATAAATATTTATACTCTGTTGTAAATCTGTAAATCTGCTGTAAATACTATGCTGAAAATCACCTCGATGTAAACGCTACAATGAACCTAAACCAACGGATTACCACAGAACGGATGCGACAACTAAACGAGAACCGCTACAACAGATTGAAAATATTCTTTCTTCGGAGCATGGCGGTGTCTATCTCTTCAAATCTATCTGTCTATCTCTTCAAATCAGTTTGTTCACTTCACTGTTTTCACATACACTTTCAGGACTTTGGTAGCCGACGACTTGACTTTCAGCTATCCACATCTGAAGTAGACGATCAAAACTCATTATCTTCTGATCCGCTAGAAGACGCTAAAACCAACGCTGGCTACAAAATCTCACAATCGATTAACCGCATCATCGATCACTTCTGGAACTACTTGACCTTGCTAGATAACGGTTCCAACGGTATGCATGATTTCACGAGTTAATTGTACCCTACATGGGAGAGACAGGCTAAAATATTCCTACAAAAAGTTGAAAGTAACATGAGAAACAGTATGGGATTGGATAGGTAGCATGTTCACTGAGTATTTGAAGCCCTATAGGCTAGACTGTGGCGCCACTCAGGACGATAAACTGATCTATCAAATGTTTCATCGTATAAACTGTATACTAATGTAAAAACGATCAAAGTATTGTCATTTGATCAGATTCGCATCGACACTGACGGAATCCTCATGGTCTAACTAACTGGAGATTTTCTGATCATGAGTTCCTACTAGAAACTAAAAAGGTTTCCAGTGGAAACCTGAGGTTGCGATCCCATGGTGATCGTCCCAACAAGGAACCGTAGCACGGTCTGATGCCGCCCCATAAGGATCGTCTTCCTCGAACATGTCTATGTTGTATAGACCACAGTAACTGCCTACGTTGCATCCCATTTTGTGCACACCCAGGATGACAATATCAATATAGCAACGGCTTGTGTTACGACCATGTACACAAACTGGCTCGTTTAAAATTTGTCGTCTACCGTTTTGGGATTAATTTCACTACATGATCTCCAAAATATAACGGGCGTTCTTTTACACACAAACAAGAATGTCGCAGGAGAATGCATGCGCGGATGCATTCGACACTGGATGGAATTTGAGGTCAGAGGTGTAATATTTGTGGCTAGCAGTAGAGAATACGGTGGAGTATATCCTAATGAGATGATGACCTGACTTGACTGTGAGGCATTGGCCAACTTCGAATAACCTACCATTGGCCAACTACCCGAAGGAAGCATAAGGGCTGAGACAGCCAGCTTCTCCAAGCCTGGACAAGAGTATTCGAGATGCCGGGGTTGAGTTCGAACTACAGACGCTCCGGCCAATAACTTCGCGCCTTAGCAACTGAGCTATCTCGAACCAGCAACTCAACGACATGCGGATTGAACGAAATGGAATTTGGAGTCATAATGTACACCTGATTCGGAAAGCGATAACCTAGATCACGGTTGTATTTGGCACTTATACAACTTATGCCGATTCAATCAATTGATTTATCAGCTGTAAACCATGTACCATAGGCACGTTGGTTCCAGCTGCTGAAGTTTCGATCACCAGAAAGCCGGAGAGTGTGGGACATACAGCCAAGTCTTGGAGGTGATGGCATGTTCAGTTAGTCCGGGTAGTTAGTCTGGGTGGCTACGCACTTTACTCCACTTCCGTTAAACATCCAAGAGATCTTCGTCATCCACTCTATGACTGTCTTGTGGTAGGTGGCCTCCAAATAACTAGATATGGGCGTTTAAGTTGGAAGTTGGAACTGTCCAGGAATAGACGACAATATGCACACAGCTTAAGCAGTTGCTCTCCATTATCCGACTCCAATTCTGCTACCTAATTATGCTTCTTCCGGACTTGAGCATTCACATCACCCACCAGGTTTACCATATCCGTCCTTCTTTCTGACCAAATCAGTCGTGACAGATCTTGTCAAAACCCGTCTCCCTCAGTCTCAGAACTACGGTGTATCGGGGCGTATGCTGATACTGGGATTCAGTCCAGCAAAGCGCTTTTAGCCTTGGGACTGAGTTCAACTCCCACACCATAGATAGCACGAGCCACTGCTTTAGGATCACCGGATACCCAGAAAGTGAAATGTGGAACATCTGGACTTGTCCAAAACGGCTTGAGGAGCACGACCGAAGAGCGGGGGTCTTTTATTTTCGGAAAAAAAAAATACATCGATAGAGATGGAAACCGAAGTTTCAGCAAGGGATGCCTGTTGCCCGATTTGACATAGAGTAGAGATATTAAAGGATGTAACGTAGATCAGATCTCTTGAGCTTAGTAAATGGGTTTTGGTTTATTTTTCTGGACGACGGATAAGGCACGGAATAATGGCTTGGGGACTGGCAGATGGGTTGATTACACCGCATCGTTCGATGGGTGGGTAGAGAGTGTAGAAGAATGCCGGTGAACGAAGATATGCAAGGGCGAATGATACTCCCCGGTTGCCCAAGCAGAAGAAGAGGGTTTGGTTGGGGTACTCCACCTTGAGCCTTTGATACAAAAGTCTGACCCACAAGGCAGTGAGAGGATGCAGGGCTTTGATCGGGGACCCTGTCACTGACTGGAAAATCTGAGCAGCAAGGCAGCAGTTGTTATGGTTTTCCGGGAGTCAATGACTCAATAGGCTGACCCAATTGGCTGCAGGAGGACGCAGGTAATAGGACATTACTGTCTCACTCCCAAGCACAAAAGGCTGGTATACCACCTGTGTCAGAATAGTACCATTCGTTCTTAGGATATATGACTACGCTAACTACTACAGTTGGTAGACAATATTGTCCAAATACGTATTTTGAGATATTTGGTATAATCTAAGAGGATTGCGAGTTTATTGCTGAGACAGATGTATAGACCGCGAACCCTTCATAGCAAACAAAGACTGGTGAATACCACTACCAGGATGTGGAATTTAACACGAAATTTCGCAGTCAGTCCCGTGCTTCGGAGTGAGGCGCACGGGCCGATATCTCACACTTACTGTTAACAGCAGGCTTTCCGAGCAGAGGATACCGCAACTCAAAAAGACAACAAAAATATTAAGTGGGCCTACATAAAGAGAGATGTTATCCTTAAAACAAATAAAATAAATAGAACAAATTCAGTCGAACGTCATTAAGATGCAGCTGATTAGACTGCTACCTATCTGGTTGACTAAGGCTGGGGTTGCGCCAACAGCACGTTGATGAAAAACATCTCAGACTGCGTTGCGGACGTTTTTGATCGTTACTACTAGAAGTGTACGATTATCTTACCTAAAGCACAGCGCAAATAAGGTCGGTATCTCGGAAGTTATGTCGATAGCCATGCTTAGCAGCGCGAAGATGTCAGTATCCCCAAAGACTCTTCAATTTTTGAATTAGGGAAAACTTAATTTTCTAAAACTCAAATCCGAAACGTTCGCATGACATTTTTTCTGCCACATGATAATATTCCGAAATGCTGCATTCATTTCTTACTGAGCAGCTAACAGTGCAGCTAGGTGCCAAAGAGTTCCATACCTTCCAAGGTCATCTGAAGTATATATATATACAATGCAATGAACTGCATTAAAAGTTCCTCTCCGAAGGACTCATGTTCTGTGCTAAAAGAGGCTGGGAACGCGGAGCACTCATTCACAATTATCTTTTTGTAGCGATCGCATCGCATATACGCAACAAAAAGGGACGAAAACACCAATCATACTGAAGACCAGATGACCATTAGGGAAAGAATCCTGATATATGGAAACTTTGAAGAATTGTGACCGGATCGTCCGTAGAGTTCGGCACTTTCATTGCAAGTTTGTCGTCACCAATCGAGGTGACATCAATAGAGATGTGGCGATGTACAATCAGCAATCAGTAGTGCTACACGCTGTAAGATCTATACGCATTGCTGATGTCACTTCGGTTGACGAAGGGACGAAATGGTTAGGTTTTCCGAACAGATCTACCATCAACTACACAAGCTGACATAGTAGCACCCTCCTACGTCAATTTCGGAGAACAAAAAAGTCACGTGACTCAAGGAGCAATACGTCAGTGGCGCAGTGGAAGAAAGGGGGATGAACATCCTCAAAATTGAATTACACGAATAAAATGGTGCCTTTGACAGTCAGAATGACATCAAATATACACTTACAATGAGAACTGAGGCGCTTCGTCCCCGGAACAGAGAAGACCGGTTGCCAGAAATTTACACGCACTTAGGTACATACACATTTCTTTAGAAGAGGGCTCACTGGACAGTTGCGAATGAAGGCTCTTCTGTTTATCCGACGAGGGCACACGACTGGAATTAAACAAAAACGTAAAAAGCCATTCATGCATTCGAAGGAACTCCTCAAACACTTCTAAAATATATGATCAACCTCAAGAATATACTGGTCCACAGCTGGTCGTGCAGCTGTCAGTCTCATGAGTAACCACCGAATAAGCCGCAGGCAACCTTCGAAAACACTGCAAAGGTAAACAGTACAGTGGGTGCTGTGAGCTCATTTGTGAATCTATCGCAAAACGAAATACCCGGTAGAATGCTGACAAAGGCGCAGCATTTGCTAAAATAGGATTTCAACTGACATGCAGCATAGTCATCAAATGTGGAACCTATAATACCAAACTCGTAAAACAGTTCCATTCCATTCTACAAAAAGCGATTTGGTCGACTTATAATGTGTAACGTGACCCGGATGGTAAGAAACACCAATAAGACCAGGCTAAGTCGATAATGGAAGATTCCCGGTTGGGAAATCCAACATGTCATTCTTTAAAATAACCAAACAGCATATCACAACGTTCTCAATACTAGGAAATCCAACTTTCACTAGTGAAACTAAAACCACAGTAAGGTGATCACTAGCACGAAGCATATGGCTTTCCTAATGACCAAACCCAAAACGTTATCAACGGAGGTTAAGATTCAGGCGGTGAGCTGGCAGAAGCTTGTGATGCACACCGGATGTATTTGGGTTGTTGGCCTGTTAGCACGCTGTACCCCCCAGGCCTGATTAGCAGCTGGGCAAAGTAGGACAAGATCGATACGCGTGCATTCTCTCGCCGTTTGCTTACCAATCAGTTTTGCGACTTGGCTTTTCAGCCGGTAAGTCGACTGCCACAAACAGCAGAAAACCAACATCACAGCTCTTAAGTGGAAGCGCTTTTCGTTTCTCCAACCCTGGCTCTCTCCTTTTCACGTTCATCAAAGAAGTGGTGTGTCATTTTACCTGTCTCATCCAGAATCCCAAAAATGTGGAAGTGTACGGTAACTATGTGCATACCTTGTGCAGGCTTTGAAAAGCAGTCCGCGTATTAGAGTGGATACACGTGCCGCTAAGTTGGATAGTACTGGTAGCAACCTCCTTCGCTTTTCCGGACACTGTTCTATCACTGCTGTGTCTTCCTCCTCAAAGGTACTTGGAGGAATAACATGAAAGAATAAAACAGCCCAATTGACCGTTCACCTTCTACTATCTCTCTCACCTTCTCCATGGAACATGGACGACAATGAACTAAAGTCAGTAACTCATCCTAGAAGTGTCATACACAATATTGAAAAAAGCCAGGAGAATGTACGAACGTTCATTCACACACACACACACACACCAGATAGTTTATATACCGTTTGGATTCAGAACCACCAGACAGTCTATCATCACCCATTCGCTCGTGTCCTTTCACGTTCTCCCGCATCACCCTTAAGTGCTTCTCACAAGCAGATTCCTTTGAACGAATGGGAAAAGATTTTCCATCGGGCAAAAGTTCATTCGTGGCTAAAATATAGGACCAACAACAACAGTCGAACTGAGGATCTATGCATTCTGGTCAAACTCACTTGCTCTCGACGTGTTTCGCCAAGGATTTGAAAACCAGTATCTACAAAAAACAAAACAGACATACGAAATACTGCAGAATCTCGGCAACGAGCAAAAAAGAATAGCACACTAATTAGATACGTCAAGTACGTAATAAAACTGTAGCGCATGGATATGATTAATGGATCGCGTGAAAGTTGCTGACAGAAAGGCTATGCCAAAACATATGATTGCTGAGCGTATTTTCGAGTAGCGGACAGGGGAAAAACCTAATTTTGCCTCAGGATGACCACCTGCCGACTAACACCACTCTCATTACAAGACGTCAGGATAGGTGAATACCAAGTCTCGTGGTTGAAAGAGAGATTTCCATGGATGCCAATCCGCCCATAGACTTATGCACCAGTCACTTGGCAGTCAACCTGAATCCAACTAAGCTTTTGAACAGTTCAGGTCTTTGATTAGGACAACGATGATTGTAACTTCCAAGCGTCTCAGAAAACCTTCAGCTTCATTGTCGAAAAACCCATCAGATTAGATCCCAGACCATAACAGCTGAAAGATCCGGATACACAAATAACTTCAAAATACAGGATCCGAGTTTTGCTGAAAATGATATTATTAATGCATTCGCCTACCTGGGTACCACGCGGTTTGAGAGAGCTCATGCTCAGTTCATGATTGAGAGAAGCAGAATGATGAAGAACATAAATATCAACCAATGAATAGAGGAGGATTAATTTCACAAGACTAGTGAAGATTCCATCTGAAAAGTCGTCATCCGAGGAGCCAGCGGACAAGTGTGAAGATGATTTGGATTTCGAGATTGAATGACGAGTGGCGTTGCATTCTCTGTGCAAGTTAAGCACACTGCTGATCAATCGCTTATGGGTTCGAAATTCCCCCGAGTTACATGAGGTCCACACAGCTGTTGATTCCCAATAAACATAAAGCAGATGTGCATTACCTCAGCTTTTTACCATACATTAGCTCCATTTAGGGAAAAAATCTCAACCGAAAAAAAAGAAAATTCCTAATCTTGACGGGCAATAAACACAGGAAAAGTACCCCGACTAACAAGTAAACAGGAACGAGTTAACTTGAACTTCTCTTCCTCTGTTTAAACACGGTAAAATCCCGATTACCACCCATATTTGCAACCACAGGAAGAACCCCGTGTTTAGTCGATCTCGCGCAAGTTTTCTATGCCTAAGGTTTCTCATGAATAATACCGTACAAAAGTAGAGCTTCGGTCGGTGAACTTCGCCTATAGGACACCCGAATTTTGATGCATACATTTTGGGCTACCTAAATGGTTTTGTGAGTAGTAAGAATACATTGTTGATGCCAGTACACCAACGTGCCCACCAGACGAGGCTCCCAAGGAATGTCTAGTGACTGTAATTCTATTCAAGCTCCTAAGTGACCCCTAACAGGCGTAATAGATATAATAAGAACACATGAAAGAGACGATAGATGACCAGTCTGTTCATCATTCAACACAAAGCGTTGGCAATGCCCATAGCAGCCGGAACAGGCAACGGAGAGAAATAGCATGCTTGAACAAAACCACACTCACTTCCCAAAACGAAACAACTGAACTCGTTTTTCAATTCATGTCAATAGACAGTAAATTCCGCTGTCATTGTATATAATTTTTAAACGCACGTAGATACCATAATAAGCAAATCCAAGACAAGTGTACATGAATGCGCCCTGTTTGGGAGAAAATAGCACACTTTAGTTATCCCCCAATGGAGTGTGCGTACATATTCAAAAACAACCAAAAATACTGTGTAAAAAGTGTCTCACCAATTCGGGGATCACAATTGGCCACAGAGAAGTGAGCTGGATAGGTGACATACGTGAAACAAGGGTACGCGCGAAAACAAAGACCTGGGCATGTACTTGTGGTACGATCCCCTGACCAAGGCGCAGACACTCGGCAAGTCGTTCTGCGGAAAGACAAAGCAAGAATTCCCAAAGTCACTCGCCTCGAAAACGCATCCGAAGGACCGCTTTCACTGAATCGTGTGCACTGAACTACTCAAACTGGGATAAGTAACATGCTTTGCGAACCAAACGTAATTATGTGATCAGCAGCGCAAGCAAAACTCGTGAATACCTGGCTAGCTGACACCTACAAGTGCACACATATCAATGGTGGGTGGCGATCTATCAGCCTCAAATAAAAAACTGGAATCTTGACAACAAGGTCATGTGAGATTGCCAAAACTCAAGAGGTACGAAAACAGCAAGAGTAAATTCTGAATGTGACTGACGAGAGAAAGTACAGTCGAAACTGAGATCGGATACCAAGCCGATGAAATACCGCGAAGAAAAAAACACCGGATCGCA